TTCCTTCCTTCCCTTCCTTCCTTCCTTCCCTCCCTCCCTCCCTCCCTCCCTTCCTTCCTTCCCTTCCCTTCCCTTCCCTTCCCTGATGCTCTCCTGTCTCCCCTGGTCCTTCTCTTCCCTAGACCAGCCAGGCCCAGTTCCTGCAACCGTTCTTCGCATGTTTTAGCCTCCAGTCCCCTCATCATCCTGGTTGCTCTTCCCTGCACTTTTTCTAGAGTCTCACCATCTTTTTTATAATGTCGTGACCAAAACTGGGTGCAGTACTCTAGATGTGGTCTTACTAAGGCTTTACAGAGTGGTATTAGTACCTCCCTTGATCTCGATTGTATCCCTCTGTGAATGCAACCTAGGATTGCATTGGCTTTTTTGGCTGCTGCCGCTGCACACGGCTGGCTCCTATTTAGCTGGTTGTCCACTAAGACTCCAAGATCCCTCTCCCAGTTCCTGCTATTGAGCCTGGTTTCACCCAGTCTATATGTGGACTTTGGGTTTTTCTTGCCTAAGTGTAGGACTTTACTTTTCTCTGCATTGAATTTCATTTTATTAGATATGGCCCAGTGTTGTAGTCTGTCAAGATCCATCTGGATCTTGAGCCTATCTTCTTGGGTGTCGGCTATTCCTTCCTGGGTGCCCCCATTGGCTCAAGCCAAGCTGCTTCCAGAAAACAATGGAATCCATCATCAGTCGTCCTTAATTTTTTTTTCTTCCTTCCCCGTCGCAGGCACACTGCTGACGACCCCACAACACACTGCCCTGGGGGCGCATCCCGTCTCAATGCCGACGTACCGGGCCCAAGGGACCCCTGCCTACAGCTATATCCCACCTCACTGGTAATCCCATCGGCCAGTCCATGTAAGTATCGGTGGGTCTCGCCCAGGAGCGGTTGGTTGGAGGGAGGCCAGGTCAAGAATGGATGGGGGAGGGGGGTTGTCCAATGGGGCTTCTCTAAGATTTTTTTGTCTTCAGGACGTAATATCGGCTGAAAATAAAACTCCTCATTGGTGACAGGAAAGGCATCCGGCCAGTAAACTGTTAGCTCCATTCGGTTGCCCAGACTCCACCCCACAAGGGACGATGGGGGTTGTTAAAAGGAGACGATGACAGGAAGACCCTCACCCCTTGGGAAGCGGGAAGAAAAAAATCACAGAGTTGGGAAGGGACCTCGGAGGTCATCTAGTCCAACCCTCTGCTCAGGCAGGAGACCCTAGACCAGCTCGGACCAATGACCGAAGAAATGGCTCTGCAGAAGGATTCAAAATGGAGGTCACAAAATGAGCCACAAGAGTTGGGAAAGGAAGATGGAGGGAGGATAGAAGGAAGGGAGGAGAGGGGAGAAGAGAAGGGAAGACGGAAGGAGAGAGGGAGAAGAGTTGGGAAGGAAGATGGAGGGAGGATAGAAGGAAGGGAGGAGAGGGGAGAAGGGAAGAAGGAAGGAGAGAGGGAGAAGAGTTGGGAGGAAGATGGAGGGAGCATAGAAGGAAGGGAGGAGAAGGGAGAAGAGAAGGGAAGGAAGATGGAGGGAGGATAGAAGGAAGAGGTGGAAAGGAAGGAAGGAGGGAGAAGGAGAAGAGAATGGGTGGAGGAAGGGAAAGGAAGATGGAAGGGAGGGAGGGAGGAAAGAAGAGGGGAAGGAGAGGAAAGAAGGAAGGGGAGAGAGGGAGGGAGGAGAAGAGAGGGAAAGGCAAGAGGGAGGGTGGGAGAAAAGAAGAAGGGAGGGAGAAGAGGGAGGAAGGAAGGAGGAGAGAGGGAAATGAGAGGAGAGAAGGAAGGAAGGAAGGAAGGTCCAAGCAATGTTTAAGATTAATAGAGCTTTTCGAGACCTTGGAAAATGTCTGGATGCCGAAAGAGCATCTCTTTTATTTTCTTGTGGCTCTTCCACACCAGAGGAGAAAAAGCTGAAAAATTCGGCTGGCTGGGAGAGGGAAATTCGAACTCAGGTCTCAAACTCTGTTCCTTTCTCTCTCTCTCTCTCTCTCCTCCCGCCCCTTTGGCAGATCTGGAGTCGAGACATCGGATGCAACCCGGCGTGATGATGGAGCAGCTGCCCCCCAGCCTCCCCCCCCCCCGGCGGTGCCAGCAAAAGCGGAGCCCCGGTTTTAAAGTTGAATTTAAGGTTTTTTTTTTTAATTTTTTTTTGGGGGGGGGCAAAGCCACATGCCTGGTTTCCCAGCGCACACCCCTTTCCCCATCCCTGCAGCCCACCCCACCCCACTGAACCCCGTTGTTCCTTTTCGCCCCCTCCCATTTCCCTCTGTTGTGCGTCGCCGGGACCTCCCGAGGCCATCTATCCGTTCACGATTCCTGCGGGTTCCTCGGAGGGGGGGGGGAAATTCCACCTTTAGGGTTCTGGAGGGGGCTAAAACAGCCCAGGCCTTTCTCACCCACTCACCCCTCCTCCGGGAAGACCTCCCCCCCTTTCCGTTCCTCCGTCATGTTTCCATCATGAAATCCGCCTCTCCTTCCTCCCCCCCCCATAAAGAGGGGGGGGTAGCCTTCCCATGAATCATAGGCTGATATAAGGGTGTCCTTTTGGGGGGTGGGAAGTCAAAAAAGTCAAAATGGCAGCCAGGGACCTGATTAAGACCCTAACTTAGTGGGGGCTAACCGTTTTGGGCTCCTGTGTCTAAAATTGTGCGCGCGCTGGTTGTGCGCGCGCTCCTGTGGCCGCACCCAAAACGCAATGCCGCCCCCGCCCCGTGCGCAATCCCCCCCCTCGCCACCCTCTTAACTGCACTACGCCTCACAGCTGATTTTCGGCTGGTTTGAGGCCTTTTTCGGCCTCCCAGAGGCTTGAAAAAAGCCTCCGCAGGCTTTGCAGGACAAATAATAGGCCCGTTTCGTCACTTCTGGGATTGCAGGAAGTGATAAAACGGGCCTATTATTTGGCCTGCGAAGGCTTTTTTCAAGCCTCTGGGAGGCCGAAAAAGGCCTCAAACGGGCCAAAACTTAGCTGTGAGGCGTAGTGCAGTTAAGAGGGTGGCGAGGGGGGGGATTG